GAATGTTCAATCTTATCGTTTGAGGAATAGTGGAAATTATGAACCATATTTTCCTACATAGTGAAAGAGTTGGTGTGGATGAATGTTTGACAATTGCACAAGAGTAGAGTTGGTAAAATGATTGAAGTGAACGCATTTGGAACGCGATTTTGTGCTCTGGTGGGCCATTGTGGGTACACGTTTACACCTTTGTAATAATAATCCTCTCCTAAAATAATTTCTTATGCAAACTAATCTCTCAACCATATGGTATAGATTCAAAATTTGATGATAATAAATTGTAATTTATTGTTAGATCATTACCTAACCATGAAATTTACTTCATGTTTGACAAAGTTTTTTTGACATTATAAATTGATATTTTCATAAAATGTGAGATTAAAAAATGAATATAAATTGCGGATTCAATCAAATATGAGGTTAAAAATAAAGTTCGAATTTGAATAACTTAGAATCTTAGAAGAACTTTGCCAAAACACAGGCCTGATCAAATACTTCTCTCCAAAAACGTAAAATAAAAATATAAATTTGGGCACTTACAAAAAAGATAAATTTCCAATATTATTTTTTTGCTCGGAGAAAAAAAATTATGCGATATCAATTAATGATATCAGAACACGTAGACCAGTCTTAGCACCAAAGGTCTAAAAATTTTCACATTGTTAACAATGAACTACATCTTAAGAATTTTGAAGCTGATATCACATAAAATGATTCTATTATTGGTATTTCTGCTTAGTTACGTTCAAGATTTAGGGCGCAAATGGCTTGAAATCCTGCCTGGTTTTTATCAGCAATTTTTTTAATAGTGGGAAAATAATGTTTAACAACAAACATTCGACCGAGCTTATACTCAAAATCCATGATATATTAATGGAGAATTTAGTATGAGAGTTTTGCTAATGCTTTTACATAAAAATCAAAACATTCTTGGGACACGACAAGAAGCCCCGCCCGATTCAAGAATTGGTGATCAGGGAAGATACTCAAATTTGCACGAACCATGACCTGTCATCATGAAAAAAACAAAAAATTATATAAAATGTTGCTTACGAACATCTATCACCATATTTTCAAGAAAATGAAGATCTAGATTTCGGAAAGTTTAGGCTTCTTTGTTGACAAGTTCATATCGAGAAATTTTTTTATATCTAAAGTCTCAACATTTAAAAGTTCTGAGTTCAAGTTTCTCCACTGTACGTAAGAAATTATAATACTTGCCAACCGCACACATGAGGAGCATAGTGAAAACAACTTAAATAACTAAATTCTAGGCTCTTGAGCTTATTGAAGAAGTTGTTCAATATGTGGACGAGAATATTTGTTTGCTTACTTGGATTTTCAGCAGTTAAAATTGCAGCAGAATTGAAGTAGCAACTTCCTCCTTTATGCTTGAACTTCTGATAGTAGCTATTGAATGCATAAGAAGCATGATCCTTTACTGTATTTGGAATATGGCAAGGTTGGTTTGCCTGTATCTTACTGCACTCTGCACCATTGCTACAGGCCCAATCAAGAGCCCTCTGCAGTTCATCATCTGGTGTTTGCTCATCTGCTATGCACCAGTCCGCGAACTGTCCCTCTAACATCAACCAAAAAAAAACGTAAAGCGAAGTTAGATGATGTGTAAATGAAAATCCAGGCACTCATTCCGATGCAGCCAACGAGAAGTTAAATTTCAGCACAACAGAATTCCGACACAATCCAGGCTAATTAATTCCTATGACAACAGAGCAAACAAAGACCCAGGGTTCAAGGGAGGCTTATGATGAAAATTATAAATCTAGCAAGGACGCGTAATATATGTACAGATCTATAAATGTGCTTCGCAAGTAACACAGTTCAATGTTTACCAGAATTCCGCGATAGAGATAAGAAGAAGATCAAAGCCAATAGAATCTTCATCACGGCTGACGGCATCGATCTGAACTTGTATCAACTCGTAGAGTTTAGAAGGATGACACCAAGAAGTTCCTGGATTTTTACAGAGTCTTTGCACACGGCAAGAAATATATAAACCTTCTCCAGATCCAAGAACAACGGCTTCAAATGTAATCCACTTGTAATACCAGTAATATCCTTTCTTTACAAAGTGAATACTGGTCACCAAAAAGATCAGTAGCAATAGGAACAAAATGAAATTTAATAATGAAGAAATATATATATATATATATATCAGGTCGGATGGAAAATTCTGTTTGTACATGATTATTGCATATAATGATATCCATAATGTGACGTGGCAATCATCCGATTGTTATCGTGCGTGTATGAGATTTAAATTAAAGGTTGGATCCAGTGGCACATATAATTATGAACATCATTATGTAGACAATTATGTACATGTAGGTTTTCCTCATGTTGGACTTGTTATAAAATTTGTCGAGATACACTATAAAAGGGGGAAAAAAAGAAGAAGATAAATCTGCGTGGATATTGTAATTTCTGCTTTGTTAACTGGTAAACTTGTCAGGGGCAGATTAGTCAATACATATAAAGATGGATAGCCTATGATATGATTTGCTCTCAACAGAGAGCATCAAGATTTTCCTCCTTCTGAAGGAATCATAAAAGAGTAACAACATTCTTCTGTTTCGCTTTTCCAAATTGATTTTGCACTTTGTTTCTCTACAGATCTGAAGAGATTTTCTTTTAATCCTGTTTTAGATCTAGTAATGAATGTGAATGAAAAGATTCTCTGGTTAATGACCCACAAATTATCCTTTTTACTGTATAAGTCAACCTTCTATATCTTGTGATGTCTGGTTTAGGCTCAGTACTGCCCATCGGGAAAAAAAAAAAAATTTGCAATCCACGCCACGACGATCGCAAAGTTTGCATAAAAAAAAAAAAAAAGGTTGAATACCAGCTTTAAGGATCTCCCACCGCCTCTGCCCTGGAGTATCGTGAAGGAAGTAAATCGCAGGTTATGCCTCCAAGAGTATAGGGTGGAAGGCTGCTTGTACACTTGTACTTACCCAAGAGTCAAATCCATATTTCAGGATTCGAACCCTTGACGTAGCAGCCTCAAGTAAAGCTAGATTTCTCCACCCTCCCCTTTTATCACTTGGAGATGTGCCCTGAGGGCGATCACAAAGTTTGCATAGCTATAATAGATAATGGATCATTGACACAAAGTATCCTAAACGTTAGTCTACATGTAACTTAAATCATTTATATCGTTCACTTTTAAAATTTGAGCCTTCAAATCGATTATTCTTTGAGCTTTCTGTTTGATTCTGTCCATTTATTTTGTTAAATAAATAGGTGGGGGTTTCGCATATGATGTCAAAAATACAATCTTGCGCTTAAAAAATTTAAATAAACAAAGAAACGATATTAAAAAAGGCAAAATAGAAATATAAAAACAAAACAAAACAAAGGAAACATAAAAGATAAATTAAAAAAAAAATCTCTATCCTCTCCAAACTCCGTTCCTGTCCAAAAGTGGTCAAGAAAACACTAAAAAAATAATAAGAAATAAATAAATAAGAAATCACAATTGAAGTCGTAGAAAAATTTCGCCAAATGCTGATGCGGAAACAAGAAACAGGGACCCAAAGATATAAACAATGACAATCATGAGTATAAGATGAAAATAATTATACATGTACATTATGGTGTTCATAAAAGTATTCATAATGTACACGTCGAATTCCATGATTAAAGGGATGAAAAAATTATTTTTCAACTCTTCAATGATATTATCCCACTTATACATTATGAATATTCTTATGGACACCATAATGTACATAAGATAAACACTCGTACGGTAGTAAATTCAAATGTTTGATTTTGAAGGTTGGGGAATGATCCAATTGTTAGGAACAAGGATAAATATATATGTACCGAATTTGGGTTACCGATTTAGTTACCTACTCTCACCTGCACGCAGGCCCGCGTGCATTTAAAAATTTCGGTACATGGGACCCGCCCTCCTATTGTGTGTGCAACTTTCCGCTTGCGTGCATTTAAAAATTCCGACGTATGGGACCCACCCTCCTCTTATGTGTGTAGATAAAAAATTCAGTAAAAAAATAGATGTACATCTAGTATTGTCCAAGAAACAAAGTGTGCAATTTTCCCATGTATAAATCCGCACTTCAATTTGAGAAATTAGAATTAACAACTCTTGAAGTAACTCTCTTTAAGAAGATATATTAAAATTAGATAAATAAGAAAATCCCCTCACAAACAGGATTATGGGCACTGAGTGAGGAAAAAATCCCGTAATATGACCTTATCACTATGTAATTAACAGTATTAAATATGTAAGACTCCCTATTTGACTGAGACACAAGCGCAAATAAAATAATACACGTGTCAATTCAATACTGCCATAAAATATTGAGTTTCATACATCGAGAGTACTAAAAAAAATTCGCTGTAGCTACATGTCATAAAGTTTTCCCTATCTAATATCCAAAAACATTGAATGAATCACAGTCTAAAAAAAAAAAAAAAAAGTTGAACCCCAAATTTGAGAGCCCTCACTGCCCCGTCCCTAGAGCTTTCTAAGGGAGGTAAATCGCGGGATATGCTCTAACAGGTCAGGGAACAAGAGCTGCCTATACACTGCACCTACAAGGAGTCCAATTCCATGTTTCAGAAATCGAACCCCCACACTGTAGCTGCCAGCAAGGTGTGAGATAACCTCACTCCTGTCATTTCCACCGAATGAATCCCAATCTGATTCTGCTTCCGATGGCTTTGTAGTTCATTATCTAGTTCAGAGAAAATCTAGTTACAAGTGAATTTGGATATTCCTGTTCAGAGAAAATCTAGTTACAAGTGAATTTGGATATTCCTGTTCAGAGAAAATCTAGTTACAAGTGAATTTGGATATTCCTTTAACAATCCAAGTCTCTCTCTACTATTATTTCTACTTCCCACTGTTCTCATTAACAATACATATATATACAGAGATACAAGAAAGATAAGCTAATCACTGCAGGAATATTCTAGTTAATTGCTAGGTTTTTCTCTCTCTTTTTGTTTGCATGGAAGGTTCAAATTCTGAAACGCCCCAGAATAGGGCAAACTATGGCAATGTTGAGAATGAAGGTATTATTATGTGTTTCGGAAGTTTTGGGTTGCATGAGGACGGGAATACGAGGTTTCAAGCAAGTAGTTCTAATAGTAACAATGGCTTCCGCATCGCTTCATCTCAAACTCCAAGAGAAAATAATTCTAATGACAGACTATCAACGAACTTGGTCCCAGATCATTCCAATATCTGGGCAAACCATGATTTTACTACTCGAGGTAGCCATAAATACATAAATATCAGAGAGAGAGAGAGAGAGAGAGAGAGAGAGAGAGGAATATTCTCTGTGCATTCATGATTCAAGGGCTTGAATTTTACTCTTCGTTTCTTTACAGGGAAGAAACTTGTTGAAGATTTGCAGTCTGGTCCAGAAAATTTTGCTGGGGGTTCAATATTGAGCATCAATACTCTCGCTGGATTTTCATTTACCCCAAATTCTGTCAACAGAAGATCAATATTGAATGATTACCAAAGTTCAAGGACCACGACCCAAAATCAGGGAATTGAAAGAAATTCACCTTTCTCACGTAATGGATACTACCCGAACCACGATCAAATAAATTCCGGCGGTTTGTGGAATCAGAATGTTGAACTACATGGTAGTAGATACAACCTTTACAGGACTGGTACAACTCAATTCCCCTCAAATCCCCTGCAAGAAATTTTGGACGAGAGAAATCAGAATCAGAACCAGACACAAGTAACACATGATGAAGTTCCCGAATCTATTTTCAAGCTGATGACAGATGAACATGAACATGTGGTCTTCGGAAAGCTAATCGAAGAAAGCAACGACAGAAGGTTGCATTCCTTCATCGTGAAGGCCTCGTTGAACAGCAAATTGTTTATAAATGCAGCATTCTGTAAACATGGGTAATTCAAGAATCTCAAATCTTTAGGTACTGTACTTCTATTTTTTCTTAGTATTTAGGGTGTTTTTCACTACTTGTGTTGACAGTGCAAATTCAATTCAAAGGCTAATCAAAAAGGTCAAGAAGACATCTGAGGCCTTCATGCTGACAAGAATTCTATCCACTGGATTCTATGAATTAATGACTCACCATATAGCCCGACATGTCATTCAGCAATGCCTAAACCTCCTTGGGAATCAGCCAAATGAATTAATTATTTTATTTCCTTCATCAGTTCTTTCACAATATTTCTCTACAAACTTCAAGAAACTGTCTTACAAATAGGGTAGTGCTGTTATATGAATCGACACATCAGCATCTGAATAAATACTCGAAGAAGAAGCCTTTTCAGCCACATTCTACTTATTATTCTTCCTGCTTTTCCTGTTCTGAATAGCAAACTAAATACATTAAACTATTCAGAAATTTATGCCTGCACATTCTTTATCTTTTAAAATAATATGACGTTAAATTTCTTATTTGATCTCAGATACTCTATGAACTAGCAATATATTACTTCCAAGAACTGGCCACCCATGAAGTGGGATGTATATCCTTGAATGAATGCATCAATAGCATCAGTGGTTCTCAAAGAACAACTCTTCTCGATCATATTGCAAATGTGGCAGCTTACCTGTTAAACGATCCTTATGGGTACTAATGAAATTATTTATTATGAAACTCAGAAATTATAATTCAATATTCATGTAACTGTGCTTGTCCGGAAAACTTTACCTTAGTGATGGTCCTTTTCCAGGAACTATGTTGTGCAGCATGTCCTCGCTCTTAGAAATGCATCTGTTACTGATAAAATACTGCATTGTCTCGAAGGTCAATTTATACATCTCGCCCGGATAAAGGGAGGCAGTCACGTTGTAGAGAAATGCATAGAATTTTCTGAACGCGGGATGCTATGTGTTATTAAAGAAATTTTAGACTGTCAAAACGCACCTTCTCATCTTGCTTGAGATCAGTTTGGAAACTATGTTATTCAAAAAGCTCTAAAGATGACAAAGGTAATTCTGCTTCTACCTGCATAGCACAAATTCACAATGTAAAACTCTAATAAACAGTGCATCACAAGTAGCAATAATCACAACCACTTGCAAAACTATAGAAGCAAAAACCTAATTAGTTTAATTACAATCAAACACCAGATCATGTACCTCCTACCCCCTTTATTATTTGCAAGTTAACAGTAGATTAAGAGAACATTTGGCTAAGCCTAAAAGTTATTTAAAAAATTATTTTCGAAAAGTATGCAGAGATTCAAAAAAGTTACTTTAAAGCTCCAGACATGCTGCAACTGGATTTTTCTCTTCTCTGTTTGCAGCTACGCGGTGTTACATTGCTTTATAAATCTCTTTTTATGGCTCTTGAACCTCATATCTCTGATCTTGGATGCACCAAGTGTGGAAAAAAGGTTGCCGCTCTCCTTGAAGAAGATATACAAATTCATGGGCAAAACTTTCCATCCATAAAAAGGTTAATGTAGTTGGGGATGGAGGCATTAATATATTTGTATTGTTACTAATGCCAATACAGTATTCTTTGTGAGTAGATGTAGCCCAGGGGACACAAAATGCAGATCTAAAGCTGTATGTTGGAGAGTTTGTCCAGTTTAATGTTGTCAACTGTTGAAAATCTATCCATCATATAAATACTTCAATATGAGCTAAGAAGTTATCATGTTTTCTATATTATGATTAATTTTGTTCATTTGTTCAAATTACTATCTAAAATATAGTTCCAATGTCTGATCAAACCCACTGAGAGAAAACAACTGAGGTCTCAATCAATGAGACATGGCAGAAGATGGTAAGAATATATCTAGTGGAGAATACGTGTATAATTTTTTTTACAGCGTCTTCATAATTCAGAGGTCATGAAAGATCAACAGCATCTAATAAAAGTGTGAATATTATTAATGAAAACTGAGAGCACAAGAGGAATCTTCTGCATAGTTTTTAGCGTTGGCTCATGATTGAACCTGATTTTACACCATGATTGAACCTGATTTTACACCGCATGACAAAGCAAGAGTGGAAAGTTCTATCAGGCAATATCCATTCGAAGAACAAAATGTACTATGAATATTTATGCATGTGAATGAGAGCAAGGAGAAGCATCAGCAGTAATATCTATTTTTTTCACCCAAACATTTGGATAAATCCATTAACGGTACTCCCTAGTAGATCTCGACCAAATTATAGTGCCTGAGCAGCTGAGCAACAAGGACAACCTTAATAAAAATCACAAGGATAATACAGGGTAGCATACACATTACCACATTTGAGAATTTCAAATCCCCATGTAAAATATCATACCAGATTCTCTACTGAAATCAACTACAAGGGTTAAAAATTTGAGCCAACCTTCTGAGATTCAAGGACTGTCCTTGTACAGCCACTTTGACCACTTGCACACTCACAGTGCGCTTACAGCACACTGGCATATATACTTCGGCGCCGGCAATAAGTTCTGTTTCAGTCTCCTCATTCTTCCTCAAAGTAAAGAAATCACACTCATCACATAGCTCGCATCGTGCAGTGAACTTGGTCACAGAATTGGCCATCAGAATTATACCAAGCACTGCACCAAACCTCCTCCTGCCAATCCAGGGTGGGGTGGGAATGAGGGGAGCTCTATCAAATAACAGGTCTATAATAATCATACTGTACAAGCGGGGAATGCATAAAGACATCATGATAGATGATGTAGAATCAATATACTGATCAAGAAATAACCACAGTTAGAAGGACAGGAAGAAATAGGCAGCAAGAAAGGGGGGAGGAACAGAGAGAATGGAGGAAGAAGAGGAAGAAGACCGGAGGAGAAGAGAACAAGAAGGGAAGGCAGGAGAAAGCAATGCTAATTTTCATTCAATTCATCATCTTCATCAACTGAGTTTTTCCAGATTAATTACAAACCTTTAAATAGAAGAAAACAACCCTAAAGCATAAGGGCTTGGGCCAAACCCAATAAAATATAAAACCTAAATAAATAGACATAAAACATAAATAACTGGCCCAAACAAACGGCCTAACAAAGGATTTCTGCATCAATAGAAACTGAGCACAAAGAAAGAAATGCAAAAAGTCTTTTCACAATAAATTCTGCAAAAATTAAAAGAGCTACCTCAAATAATCACCATCCAAACCAGCAACTATGATAGTCTTGCCATCATGGTCAGCAGCTTTACAGCAGAAATAATATAGGTCTTCCAAAAATTGAGCTCCATCATCACCGGTCACTTCTAGCTGTCATCATGTCATGGGATAAATATTATCACGTGCTTTTGCTCACAAAAGAAGAGCTAAACAAAAATGCCATGAAAGGTGCACATAAAATCCAAGAGATTTTCACATTGTTCTTCCAAATAACATCAAATGTCACTTCATTTACATAGAAAAAGCCAATCAATTTATCCTAAAATAATATGATTCCATGCTCAGCACATGACAAATTATTGCCATGTTGAATATTTTGATATCTATGTAGGATATTTACTATTTCTAAAACCAAATTCAGACAGTGCAATACCTTCTCATATGCCTCAGGATCCCGTCTTTGTCCGAATCAAGACAGATCTGCCAATGGCCAACATGACAATTTCTCTCCATCATGTGTTACGATAGAGTCTACGGCATATCTAGTATGCTTGTATGATTTTATTATTGCTACATCTCTCCACAAAAAGAAACCATAAAAGTTTGGGATAAATATAAATCATAATGGTGTATCACTGACAGCCCATTTAGTTCAACAATCACATGGTAATCATGTTCCTCGAAAGTGAGTACAAATATTTAGGCATGAAACCACTTCTTTCCTTTCCTGTTTCTTTTGGATACATCAGCAACTAAACCCACTAAACAAATAAGTTCGCAAAACCAGTCTTACCAGTATAAACATTAGATAGGCAACAATCACCATTCAAGATAAGACTGTTAAAACTTCAAGTTACAAGTACCATACGTCTATGTATAAAGGCCATGACGGTCAGAAACACACGAACTCAACAAATTTATATGCCCCATTCTTGAGCTCAAATTGCTAACAAAGTTGCAGCAACAGTTTCTGAACAAATAGACGAGTCAAACTCATTCATTTCCAACCAGGCTGTAAACCCAGAATTACAAAAGGGAAAGAAGATCAATTCAAACTAGCAATGCATTCAACCCATCCATCATAAAAATACTTCAGATGTGGAGAATACTTAAAATACTAACTTCTAGGTGTCACCTCCCTCTAGTCTATCAGCCAATTTTGGATCCTAGATATCATATCTACGCTAGTAATGTCCAGTATGATACTCCACCCCACCCACCAAAAACACTACGATGCATCTGCCTCTCTAGACAGATCGAGAAAGCCTAGTTTATAATTTGCTTTCTGTATCATTATCAAATGTCAAAATATTATGCTTATTTACTTGAAAGATAGCACCTTCATAAAAGTCCATCGTGTCTGATCCAACTGACAGTACATTACCTGCAGCCATTCAAAAGCAAATCTATGATCACTGTGTCAAAACTCCTAAGAATGACATTCTTCCTCATTGAGGTGAGAGAAAATGAAGACATTTTTCGTCTTCGGGTTACTTCATCTCTATTGTGCAACTATGATCCTCATTGATGCTTAAATCAGGGACATCGCCGGTACCTTTCAGAATGCAAGCCATATCTTTTATCAAATCATACATCTGTTCAGTTAGCTTGCGAATATTATGACCCATAAAATAGAACTGGGCCTCTGTTTGAACCTCAATCATGCTATAACCAGGCTCCTTTTTAATCCCAGATTCCATTTTTTTTACCTTTTTCTAGAAGAGGATCAAAGAATTTCAGCCCCACCCTCTAAAGGATGCTCGAACCCAGGTCATCATCCTGGTAAGATTTTGGTCTTACCAATTGAGTAGGCCTTGGCCTATTTTAATCCCAGATTCAACATTGTTCCATAGACCTAAAGCGGCATAAGCGTTAGACAAAACTATGTATTTCCCTGTGTTCTCTGCTTCCAATTCAAAAAAGTTCTTGCAAAAAAGCTTTATCATGTCCACATTTCCATGAATCTGCACACCCCAAGCAAAACGCCCCATATTGCTAGGTGCTCTTTACAAGGCGAATTTTGGACAAACTCATAGGCCTCTAGCAACCTCCCAGCACGCCCTAAAAGATCAACCATAGCTGCATAATGTTTTCCTCTTCGCTGAACACCATAATCTCTCACCATTGATGAGAAATATTCCCGGCCATCAACTACCAAAACTCCGTTGCCATAAGCAGTAACAACCACAAAAAAAAGGGGATTTGATTTGGTTGAAAGTCTTCATTTTTCATCAGAAGAAAAAAAGCCAGAACCTCGAATACTTATCCATGCTGGCCATAACCAAAGATTAAAGCAGTCCAAGATACAACATTTCTATCTAAAGATTTGTCAAGTACTTGAAAACCATCACAATGATTACTACACTTGAAGTACATATCCATGAGAGCACTAGTAACTAAAACATTTTCACTAATTTGGTAGTAAAACATAATCACTAATTTGGTTCTTAATCAACACATCGTGGGCTTGCTTGCCCTATTTCCCGGATGGCTAGAGAAGAACATGCCCTAAAGACCAATGAAAGTTGAACTTGTTATCAAACCAGAGTCTCATCTGTTAATAAAAACCGAAGTTCACTTCTTCCATACTCTTCTGTTCGCATTCCACGAAATTAAAGTTTTCACCACGAAGTTATAAAAAATGATGACAGAAGTCTCCACAATACCAGTTTTTGCATACAAAACCATAACTTCAACCTCAGGTGCTCGTCAGGAACAAATCAAACAACAGTCATTCGCCAATTAATTCTCCTTCCCTTCTTATATACTTTCCTTAAAATGCATTCTTGAAAAATAAGCCAATAGTTTCCAGATTCTACTTACACTCCTATGCAGCACAATATTACTTTAGCTTCTGATACTCTCCCCGTTAAACAGAGACCCTTCAGTGTTTTATCAAAATGGATGGAATTCACTATGGAATTGGCCTGAAAACTGGAACATCTTAGAAATGATAAGTTATTCAGCCTTAGAGCTAAAAACAGTGACCAGGCTTTTTATTTGAAGAGACAAGATGACAGAAATTTGATATCATCCAAATTCCGAACAGCGTGTAGAAGAAGGTTCATTTTCATATACCATCAGTTTCATCATTCAAGACTCATAATTAATCAAATTTATCATCTCAACTAATGTGAAAATAAATTACAGTGTAAAATAAAGATAAGATTCTTTTTAGAACTACAATAGAGCATTATCGTCAAAACATATCGACTAAACCCCAAATAACTCATTAAGAATTCAAAAAAAATGTTGGAGAGAGAGAGAGAAATGATTTCATTCTTAATACAGTTGACATGAAACAGGTTATTAAGTAGAGGCATTTAAATTGAAGAAAACAAGTGTATACTGACCTAATATAGACAAGGCAATCATTTAACCTCTCCTCATTACCCTTTTCAACAAATTGGTGACTAGTATGTGCCATGTTACATTATCAGGTGTCAATCCATGGGACACACCTCTAGTTAAAAGTGCATATGCCTCCTCAAGCGTGCCCATTTTACAGTAAGAACCTATCAAGATGTTATAAGTGACAACATCTGGACAGACACCTTGACTTTGTAATTTGTCAAAGAGATTAAGAGCTTCCTCAACACATCCTGTCTTGCATAAACCACTTATAAGACTGTTATACGAGACTATATCGGGTTTTAATCCTCGATGAAGCATCTCTCTCAAATATTCAAGTGCATTTTGTACCTTCCCAGCTTTGCATAAGCCATTGATCAAAATATTGCATGATTTAGTATTAGGATTCAGCCCCTTTCTCAACATTTCTTCAAAGAGACCCACAGCCTTTTCTATTGCCCCATCTTGGCACAGTGCTTTTATAAGTCCAGTGTAAGTGAAGTCATCAAGGGGACATCCTCTGAATAACATATCGTTAACTAGCTTAAATGCTTCTTGAATTGCACCTTTCCTCAGGAAAGAATGAATCAATGTGTTATATGTTACAGTATTCGCTATAACTCCCTCTGTGAACATATCTCGGTACAAGCGAAGTGCCTCTTCCATCTTATCAATTTTGCAAAGCCCATATATCAAAGAATTGAACGTGAATATGTCAGGCTTACATCCTTTGCTGGGCATCTCACTAAAGATTTCCATCGCCTCATGTATCTTACTGTCCTTGCAGAGGGCAGCTAATAGACAGTTATATCCCACCGTATTTAGGCAGAGACCTTTGGATGACATTTCGTCCATAATGTCATTGGCTTCTTCCAACCGGCCATCCTTGCAGAAGCCATCAATCAAAATGGTGTAGGTGATAACGTTTGGCTCACAACCATCAGATGACATCTCCTCCACCACTTGGTGAGCTGAGGCAAAGAATCCTTTCTTGCAAAGCCCACGAAGTAGTATATTATAAGTATAAACATCTGGCTGACAGCCAGTACCAAACATGTTCTTGTTTAATACAGATTTTGCTTCGTCAAATCGACTGTGTGTGACATAGCCATTAATCAAAGTATTAAACAGGATAACATTAGGATAGGGCACTTTCATCAGCAGTGCCCTTGCTTCGTCCACCTGACCTGTTTTACATAGCCCTTGCATTAAAACTCCATAAGTTATAGCATCAGGGGCAAACCCTCGAATAAGCATCCTATCTACCAATTTGGCGGCCTCATGAACACGATCAGCACCACAAAGACCAATTATGACGTCGTTGAATGTATTGACATCTGGTAAGCAACTCATGAGAAACATCTCTTCCAAAAGTTTCAAAGCTTCATTCACTCTGTTAGTCTCAGATAGAGCGTGTATAAGTGTCTGATAAACTATTGAATTCGGCACACATCCATATTTCGTCATGTCTCTGAGGAGGGAGCATGCAGAATCAACCTCTTTCACTTTACAAAGTGCTTTCATTACTCTAGCAAAAGTAAAAACAGTAGGGGAGATGCCCTTGCTCAACATCTCATAAACAACATTTGGAGCAACTTTTGGACAGTTCCCTGCCAGCAGAATATCCAACACAACATTATAAGACTTAAATGTAGGTTCACAAGAGAATGTAGTCCTCATATCCAAAAGCCACCTGGTTGCTTGCCCAGGCAAACCACCTCTTCCATAGTGCCTCATAATCATAATGAAAAGAGACTCTGTAAAAACTATCCCTTCTTCTTTCATCTGCATTAATAACCTATCAATGATCTTAAACTCCCCAGCAGCCCCAGCTTTATCAATCAAAGTATAGTAGACATCAAACGAATGGCAATAACCCTTCTGGGCACCGGCCCACTGAAACAACTCCATCGATGTTGACACATCCAGTGGGAGCTCCAGCAATTTATTAAGCTGAAATGGAGAAATTTTATTGAGTGATTTTCGGAGTTCTATTAGGTCAAATGGCTTGAGTAATCTTTCCCATTCAGTCTCAGACTCTGTTCCATCACTGAAACTTCCATTTTTCCCACAGGTAGAAAATGGAAAAGTAGGAGTCCTGCGCAACCACTGTAGTTTTTCCCATGTACGTATCCAAAAATTTGATCTTTTTAGCATACTCTAATTTGACAGCTGAAAATTTTCAGAAAATGACAACGTAATCAAAATATAGAGAAGCTATCCATTAACTTTTTCCCAATTTTGAGAATTATCCGTCAAATGATTCCATTGGCCCAGTTTCAGCAATTAATTTCCAATTACTTTCTACCAGTCCCCGCAACAGGAAAGAAATTACTTTTTCTGTGTATTTATAAGAAAATATTAGATAAATTTTATATAAATATGCAGATCAAAATGTTAGCTAAGAAGCGCAAGAACATAGTAGTATAGGGTAGAATATCAATTACCTTGCAGAAAATTTGGAGATGTAGACTAAAATAGTGCAGACTCCGTAACAGCTTGGGCCTGTTCCGAACCCTGTTCGTATGGTATAGATTTTTTCATTCTCTCCTCTCTCTCTCTCCCTCCCTCCCTCTCCTTTCTCGAGCAAAGCCACAAAGAAAAAATCGTACACGGTACATGATCACCGTTACACTTGGTCCCTTGAGTACTCCTACTTACAAGTTTGTCTAATTTTAATGCACTGTGTAAATATTAATTTAATTTCAGTTGTAAAAGTTTATGTCAGTTACAAGAAAATTATGATATTTGTAAATACTTACTATGATTTTTCAACTTTTATTCGTCTACTTCTTGTCACCAATTTTTTCCTAATTTCTTATTTTATTATAAGGGTAATCATACTTTCTGGTGTTCACCTCCACACCAACAATTGTAATTTATATACATTAATCAATGTACAAACTATTTTTAATACATTCAAACCTTTTGTTGTAAAACGTTCTTTAAATTGTCTTTTATCTCGAATCAACGACATAATATAGATAAATAAATTACTATCACACAGTCCCTTTCTGAGCTAGAAAGAAAAGCATCCCATGATAGTTGGTATCACATATTGGTTAAATTCAACAATGATAACTCAACTTCATACTTAGTGTCACATTGGTCATTCATATTGATTTCGTTTTACCATGACCATCCATATTCATACATATTTTTACATAGGTCATCTAATTTGATTTTATTTTACCATGACCACTTAACTTCATACCTACTGTTAGTCAAGCCATTCGAGAACTTTATTAACATAATCATATTGGGTGTCTAATATGATAATAAGTATAAAGTTGGGTGGCAGCTAATGGATTTAACACTCTTACATACAGCTCACAACCCTCTTATCAAAATGTGTCACACCATTGAGGTATCATCAAAAGAGAACGAACAGGGCCTATCCGTCTTGCATTGTTCTCATCAAAATATGTTCTCAGAATGCGTTGCTTATTAGGGAAAGACAACAGATTGATAAATGTTCCCATCATCTATGATCGAACCACTGTACGCTACCTTTGTCATTTCGAATCAGAGCTATGATCTATGATTGTCAATGTCAAAACTCCTAAGAAAGACATTCTTCCTCAGAGGTGGTGCGAGTTTATAACTTTTAGTAAATTTACAACTTGTTTGACAACTATTATTGTAGAAAAAAAAGTTTTGAATAGTGATTTTCAAAAGAATGTATATTTAAAAAGTAGGAAAAAAATTTTGGTATACATGTAAATTGCATTGTTACTTTCAGAGATGTGGCCCTGTAAATACGCCATTCTTACTCAAAAAAGTATAAAATTGACAAGTATTTTCAAACAAGAACGAACTTCATTAATCACGAATACAAACATAATACATAGGTTGTGCTGCGTGTACACAATGGTGTACACACAGGCTTACACCCCCCTCACATGGAGGGGGGCCCACATATAATATAATATTTATGGGCTCCCCTCCATGTTAGGGGGTGTAAGACTGTGTGTACACCATACACACAGCATTTTCCCATAATACATACATGCGCAGAGAAATCGACTCACAGAACGAAAAATGAAATATACATAGTCAATTATTGAATATATATATTGGAGGAACATAACGCCATGTGAATACTGAACATTCCACAATTCTATCTACTTCAAGTCATTCACAATTTCTAATACAGATTCTCCTATGGCCCAAGGATAAAGAAAATACTGCTTCAATACTTTTTCAACAGTTTAAAAAAAAAAAAAAACAAAAAACAAAACAAACCCAATTAAAGAAGATGTGTGAAAGGGCTTAAGAGAATCAGCAGTTCATGAAATGAAGGATTGCTTCAATGGGGTAACAAAATCAGAGGAATTTAAGATGAACAACATCCAGCTTTCTTCGCTTTCCCATCAGCTTCTTCGTTCTCATCACCCTGTAAAACAACTGTTTTTCCATTCCCCATCCACCCGGGATCTTTTTGCTTGAGCTCTTGAGATTGCATAACCTTACGACTCAAAATATTATAAATCTCTCCAACTACCGTCTGAAATGCAGCTGAGACATTGGACGAATCCAGAGCCGAAGTTTCGATGAAGAATAGACCATGTGCCTCGGCCAAATCTTTGCCTTCAGTGGTTGTAATTTCTCGAGAATCTTTGAGATCGGATTTATTGCCTACTAGTATCGTCACTACATTCATGTCGGAGTGGGCTGTCGAATAAATGACCCATACAAATCAGGCATTGTCACCTCTAGATAGAAAAGGAACTGTTGAACAATAAAGCATAGCATCTATATCAACAATAAGATAAGATTATCGTTGCTTGACGTTTTCTTGATGTTTTTAATTCTACAGATAGTTTATAAATAATCATGTAATTCAGGTGCAACATTATAAAATGCTATATCTTAATATCCTTTGCAACATCGTAATTCGTAGATTCATAGTGATCACCACAGAAATCTAGCCAAATTTCATTTCAAAACAGAATACTCTCATTCATCAACTGCAAAGTATTCTAAACCAAATAAGCATGCAGCAATCAGTAAAACTCTTTTTTATGAATCGTGGCATGTTTGGTGGTGAATTGGATAGCATTGGTCTGTATCAAGCAAAAGAAAAATTCAAAAACTCTTGTTCTTTATGCTGCCTATTAACACATACCAAAACATGCAACAACTGTCATTCAAGGTGATCAAAATCAGAGTGCGGTGACAGGAGTTGAAAAATCACAAGTAAACGAGAAACATCGAACAAGAAGCATTGCTTACTTTGTAGTTCATTAAGCCATCTACCGATGCTATCAAATGTCTGGCGTCTACTGACGTCATACACCAGAAGCGCTCCAACTGCACCTCTGTAATATGCAGAGGTGACAGCTCTAAACATTTCCTGACCAGCCGTGTCCCATATCTGTGCATTAACTTCCTTCCCATTGATTTCCATCTTCTGCGACTGGAATTCTACTCCGATGGTTGATTTTGAATTGGGGTAAAACTCATCTCTGGCAAATCTGGCAAGTAAGTTCGATTTACCAACAGCTGAATCACCAATCAAAACAATCTTGAAAAGGTAATCCTCAATTTGTTCCTCCTCCGAATGAAATGCCATCTTTCAGACTTTCACCCTTCTAGATACATGCCAGAACACATTTCCTGATGTATATAAACTACAAAGTAAAGGTCTTTATTACACTCAGTTCAGAGTGCTAGAAGAAAACTAGATATTTTCTAAAAAAGGACACTACAATCAAGCTTGGAAGGCAAGGAAGGTATGCATAGGATGAAAAGCAGCACTAGTTAGACAGAAACAAGAAGAAAGGAATCTGAGATGATATCTGTGTGAACAAAAAGGTGAAGTTCCTCACTAGTGCTGTCCTTCCTCACTAGTGCTCTGTCCTCACTTGGCTCCTGCTTCCCACCTCTTCCTTTTTTTAACTCAAGCCTGCAAATAATAATGCATTAAATACCTGAAATTCTATCAACTTCTTGTTTGACAAATAAACTATGCAAACAATAGTTGTTGGCGATTGTTAATGCTCTTGATATGTTCAATGCAAGAAATTCCACCAAAGAGTGACTGCATTCTGGAAGATCTAAACCATCCATGTTCCCACATAATTCATCTGTCAGCTTATGTGTAAGTTAATAAATGTAGATATAGCTGATTAAAAAAAAAAAAGAACCTTTTAAAAATCGGCAAGTGAAGAATGTATCTCTTCAAAAATTGTGTCTTCAACAAATCCTATTAATATTTGTCATTTAGCATCCAATAAAGTTGATTTCCAAACAAAAATTAGGGCAAGAGATAACATGATTATGTCCAAATAAAAAACACAATTACGTACATCACGTGAGCATGTGCAGATACAGAAATATTTGCACAAACACACACACACACACACAGAGGATCGTGCAGGGGTGAGGGGTGGTTTGACGATGGGGCAAAGCAGAAAATTTAAAGTTGCAAAAGCACAAGCGATTCAATTTCCTTTAGAAATTAGAATTATTATTCTTCTATAGGTAATTTCATTCTAGATTTATTTATCATGGATTTTATACAAATCACGTAAAACAAAGTGCAAGCAATTGGCATGCAGCTCAAGTTCCAAATAGACCAATGCTTCGTTCTAACATAGTGATGTATTACATCAAAAGAGGTTACAAAAACATCAACAATGTAGTTCTTTGTGAGCGAGGCATGAATAGAAGGATGTGATTTTGGTAAATCTCATGGAAAAAGGGTGTCCTTCTACACTATGAATGGCCAAAACACCAGAAAAGTAGAGCCTCGGATTTTATATCTTTACTCTCTGTGTCAAACAATGGTGTAGATAGGTGGAGGAGGGTTAAACAATTTATCATTCCAAATATATTAGGATATTATGGTCCACTGGGGTGTATGGGCACCTGAATCCTACGTCGAAAATATGGGCTTCCTTTGGTTTATATAGGCTTGGATTCTCCAATCTCAATGGCTAGCTTTTGAATCTGGCTCTTCCAAGCTCTATTACAATGTGCCCAAACCAAACTAATTTTCCATCATATCAAGTCGTTGTTCAGTCATTCAGTTCTAAATGGCAAGATGTGAGCTTCACTCTTCAGTTACTTGGAATAGTTAATGTACCTTGAGTTATTACTTATAACCCATTTCTAATCTCACCCATTCTCCATTTTTTTAATCTTTTTTGTTTTGTTTTTTTTTTTTTTGGGACAAAATTCAGCAATATAGATTCTTTAACAGAAAAGCAAACATCATATGACAACATTCCAATAAAATGAGACATAAATGGCTAAAACAAGAAAAGGTAAAAAATAAAAAGTTACCCACTTCTTGAATTAATTAATACAACGTACGCCTAAATTTCTCTCTCTCTCTCTCAAGTCCGAGATCAAATGGAGATCAATGGAGGATCAAACTAATTTAACGGCTGTGGATTTTGGGAAGACAAAGATTAGTGCTAGGTTTCAAGATTTGATGAGAGAAGAGAAGACGTGGGGCTGGGGAAGAAAGAGGGGAGAGAAGAAGCCAGTATTCACATGAATTGAGACAGATGGCTTTATGAAGAAAAACCGGCCAAATTTGATCCAGGCATGTGGCGGATTCACGTGTATACACGCATATTTCTGTCCGAATCTGAAATTACAGTAGCTTGGAATACATTCAACATTCTGTACGACATCGTGGATTATATCCTCCCGACTGATGCTTGCTGTATAGGGCCTGTACTCATACATTCGAGAGGGGGTCGTCATCATTTAAAAAAATAAAAAAAATAATTCACCCACCCTTTACACGTGTGTAGCCTGTACAGGCCCTATAGTGAAATGGGACCTGTACAGCCAGCACGGCACTGTTGTTCCACTATGTAGAAAATTTGAATATTGATTGGGAAGATTATTGTTAAAATTAATGTTAAAAAAAAAAGGTATATATGTTATATTTTAAACAATTGATCAACTGAGTCTAGCTGACAGAATTGGTCTAAGGCGCTAGTTTCAGGTACAAATTCAAAAGGGCATGGATTCGAATCCCAATCTTGACAACTTTTGAGATTTCACTTTCTGATTCTTGTTCAATCATTTTGTCTGGATTCTCTTAGCAAACGCAATATCCCTCACTTTTCTTGTGCACATACTTTTCCTTTGTCCTCAGCTGAAGTTCATCAACAAAAACATTTTCACAAGACGATGAATTTTAGTGAAATAGAGGTATATAAATTGTCATGTCTAATGCTACATACCAAATAATCATTTATTAGAAGCATAATTTTAAGAATCATGTTAAATTTATGTTGCTTATTCTTCCTAGCATCATATATGACTTAACAACAATGGAGGGATATCCAAACCAAACCCTCGAGGCCATTCATCTTGTAAGAGCTTCTAAATGTGGAGGTTGGCCAAGATTACAAAGAAAAAGCCAACTACTTTAGCATTTATGCAAGTATGATGAAGCCACCTCTTCATAGAAATCGAGTTCATTGTACAAATAATAATCATGACGGAGAATTACCGTCCCACAGGGAATAAAACTCAATTCCCGTTTATTTGATATATTTAAATTCGTTATTGTAACAAAAGATAATTGGTTTATATCTACTTACGTTTTATATATACGAAAGAAAGAAAATTAGGTTTTAAATCAAATTTGGATAATGTATTGGATTTCGACTCTACTAATCAACTCTTAATTTCAATCCTTAGCCAGTGATAATTAATTCAATTCATAGAAATCGAGTTCATTGTACAAGTAATAATCATGACGGAGAATTACCGTCCCACAAGGAATAAAACTCAATTCCAGTTTATTTGATATATTTAAATTCGTTATTGTAACAAAAGATAATTGGTTTATATCTACTTACGTTTTATATATACGAAAGAAAGAAAATTAGGTTTTAAATCAAATTTGGATAATGTATTGGATTTCGACTCTACTAATCAACTCTTAATTTCAATCCTTAGCCAGTGATAATTAATTCAATTCATGCAATTGTGGTGATCAACAATTTACTTTTATTTAGTCTTATTTTCCTAAATATAATAAATCTATGTTTACCACGAGACGCTCTTATTCCTAATCTGAATTTATATGAGAGACGGATTAATTTCACAAATGGCCACCTAGCTTTAGATTTAGTGTCACCATAGCCACCAAACTTTATTTTGTTTTATCATGACCACCCAACTTCATATTTAGTATCACCATGGCCATCGAACTTTATTTTGTTTCACCGTGACACTCAATTTCATATAATGTTTCGTAAGGCATTTCACAATGACCACCCAACTTCTTTTTCACCATTTTCACTATATATATATATATATATAATTTTAAAAAAACAAAATAAAAGTTTTTATTTTATTTTAAAATAAGTTTTTATTTTATTTTATTTTTTAATGAACTTTTTATTTTATTTTTCTAAGTAACTAACTTTTTTAAATAATTTTTATTTTATTTTAATATATAATGCAAAGTTACCGTTTACCCCTCTAAAAATTAGTGAAAAATGTGAAAAGAAGTTCGGTGACCATTGTGAAATGTCATATGAAATTGGGTGGTCATAGTGAAATGTTATATAAAATCGAATGATCATGATGAAACGTTATATAAAATTGAGTGGCCCATAAGGGTGTCAAGGGGCCGGCTCGGGCTTTTTTAAGACGAGTTTTTGAGCCGGCTCACGAGCCGAAAATCAAGGCTCAAGCTCGGCTCGAGCTTTTTGAAGACGGGCTTTTTTTGGCCCGAGCCGAGCAAAAGCTCAGTCAAAAAATTAAGGCTTGACTCGAGCCGGCTCGAGCCTTACCGGACCAAGCCAAGTCGGCTCGCTTTTCTGATTTTTATTTTATTTTATTATTTTTCTCTCTTAGCTGTCATTCGGTAGCTAAATAGGTAGCTAAAATTAGCTGTCAAATAGGCAACATATTTTTCCTTTATGTTTTTTTTTTCCTACGGGCTGTTCGAGCCAACAGGCCGGCCTTGCTCGAGCCAACTCCCAGAAATGGGGCTCAACTCAAGCCTCAAGTTGGGTCGGTTCGACTTTTTTTGAGCCGAGTCATGGATGGCTCAAACCGACGAGCCCGATTACCATCCTTGAGTGGCCATGGTGAAACAAAATAAAGTTCGGTGACCATAGTGACACTAAATCTAAAGTTAAGTGGTCATTAATGAATTTAATGCGTTGATGTTTAGAATTATCACACACGACTACATAATATTTATTGCCAGTGTGTTCCATAAACAATGTTCTATCAATCGTGAATTTTTCGACACTATGAGTAAGCAATTTTTTGTCCTAATAGTGCACAAGCATTAAAACAATATAATTATGGATATTTATGAAATCACAACGCATAAATTAAACTAAAAACACAAAGTCTTGAATTAAGAAATAAAAATCAAT